CTTTCAGATAGATATCTCAGTCGTGAAATTGCACCCAGCTGGTTGTGTAAGCAAACAAATAGTTTCATGTTAGGGACTCTCCACTTGTGGCTTGATGAATAGAACACGACAGAGGTAAATGGCTCTTTAACTCATTTAGGAATAAAACTCCTTGGCTTCCTAAGTAAGAGAGCTTGTGAGGCCATGGATCCCGAGCAAGTACTTTACCAAGAGTTTTACTAGTTTACACTTCTGCTCTCGGATCTCCTCCCTCGTTCACTTCCCTCCCACTTCTGTCCTTTCCCTTTTTTTTTCTTTAGTATATTTTACTCTTTTTCTTTCTCTTCTCTCTTCCCGTCTTCTCGCTCGCTTTCCTTTTTATTTTTTTTTTAATTTTTCTCCTCAAAAGCACCTCATAAGAGAATTTCCTCTTACCCCCTCCTGCCCCCCCGCCCCCTCTTGTCACCGACGCTTGGAAACCCCGCAGGTTTGCAAGATACCCGGGCACATCGAGTCTGTCCATGGCACTCGGGAGTAGTGGCTTTTGAAATGTACTTAGTTGTCATTCTTACGGCTCCGGAATCACTGCAGAACACTCATCCCCAGTCTCTCTGACCCGCTGAGGATTAAAAAGGGAAGGATGCCTAAAAAAATAAAAAATTCTCGCATGGAAGTCAATGGCTGTGAAGCCAAGTAGAAAGGGAATCTTTTAAAACAAATATATAGACACATTTCATGGAGGTCAAGCCGCTTCTGAAATTAGTTTCTAAGATGTAAAAGAAATGGGAAGAAAAGCAGGGAAGGGCGAGGGGACCTATTCCTGCCTCTCTCAGTAAAGCAGAGAGCAGAAAAAAGACCTAGATGTGAGTCAAAAAAAAAAAAAAAAAAAAAAAAAAAAAAAAAAAAAAAAAAAAAAAAAAAAAAAAAAAAAAAAAAAAAAAAAAAAAAAAAAAAAAAAAAAAAAAAAAAAAAAAAAAAAAAAAAAGGAAAGGAAAGGAAAAACCCAACTCAGTATTTCAAGACTTAGAAACTAGCGCTTTGAGTAGTCAAAATGCCCCATGAAACCGGAGGAAGCATGTCAACACTGTTTGTAATAGCCGTGCACACGCGTTCGCGGACACTGCCTGTGAATGGCTGCGCGCCGGGATGCGGCTGGAGGGGGAGGCTTGCAGCAAGCCGTGACACCCCCGTTCAGTCTCCGTCCCTCTGTCCGTCCGCTGGAAGGTCATCCAGGCCGGCCGGTGCCACTGTCCCTGGCAACCCTGTCTGAGCATCCCTCGGCAGCGGGTCATATCTGTGCTCTGTTAGGAAGGGGTTGCCTGGCTGCCATACCCCCCAGGTAATGAAAAAAAGACGGACAACCCCCTCCCCCCAAAAAAACTAAACAAAAAAACCCCAAACCCAAACCCAAAACTAACAGTAACAAAAAAAATCACACAGATAAAAAAAACCAAAAACAACCAACCAAACAAACCCAACCAACTAACACCCTCAACCCCCCCCCAAACCCCAAACAAAAAAATAGCCCAAACAAACAAACAAAAAAATTCCCCAAGAAGCAAAACAACCCCAAACCATCCGAACTAAACACACACATACCCCGCCAAACGGGAGGTCCTATCAAGCCCTTTCCACCAGATAAAAGACTTTTATCTCTTTGTGTATGTAACCAACCAGTTTCCTGCTAGTGAACCTATGCAGAATTAACTTTTTCTTGTATTACTTCTGCTGCCACTTGCAGTGACCCCTAGCCAGATTCTTCTGTGCGAGACCCTCCATGTATCCCGGCAGGGAAACAGCCTTTTACATCTGGATCCACCGTTTTTACTGGTGGTCATGAGATAGGTCACTCGTGATGGAATCTCATCCGCACTCTACCTCCCCAGTTCTACCTAATATCGAGGGATACGGGGAAAGTGTGAATTACCCTTTATCCCTAGTCCTGAAGGGCGCTCATCAACCTCTCTCTTTCAAGTGAGGGGGGTGAATGGAAACCAAGCCACCCAAAAGGTGCCCCCTGGGGCGAGGGCGTGTCTAGAATCGCAGGGAAAGGGGAAGCAGCAGCCCCTGACGTTCACGGGCGGCCGAAGGAGGTGCAGGCGCGGGCACAGACATACACACACACGACCCCCGCCCCGGCCCTGTCCCTGTCCCTGTCCCTGTCCCTGTCCCTGTCCCTGCCCCTGCCCCTGCCCCTGCCCCTGCCCCCACCCACAAGCCCCCCTCCTCCTCAGCTTGTCTTCAACCTACCACTTAGCAGCATTTCCAAATATTTATTCGATTAAATGTATAGAAAAGGCCTAATTGGGCGGTGGGAGGAGGCAAGCTAGTTAGCGAGGTGCTAAGAGGAGTGGGAGTGGGGGCTTTGTATCTACCGTGCCCTCAGCGAGTCCCCTGCACGGGGGTGGGGTGGGGTGGGGTGGGAGGGTCGCCCCTCTCCCATATCCCACCCACCCACTGCTTCCCCCCCACCCCCACCCCAGCCTTTGAAGTGCTGCCGCAGCTGTTGATGAGCACGGAAAGGCCGCGGAGCCCTGCGCGGCAGGGAGGATGGAAGGATGCAGGGATAAGGGGGATGCCCTGCCGACCACGCCTCCTGAAGATTCTGGGGGGCCGAAGAGCCCCCGGGAACAACGCCTCAGCAACAACAAGGCAGGAGAAATGTAGATGGAGTTCGTTTTAAAGCAATGTATTGTAGATTATGAACAAGTCAGCAAAAACTCGCTGAGGGACCCCGGCCCCGCTCCACATTCACTTTTTTTTTTTTTTTTTTTTTTTTTTTTTTCCTCCAGCAAATAGCACTCCGTGACGCGATCATACAGTATTTTTAGCCGCCTTATGAATGCCCGAAAGGCTGCAGCGTGGCAAAGGAAAACATCCACTGACACAACGCAGACTGTGTAGTTAACACTTCAGAACACGATACCGTCTTATAAGCAAAGTTTAATAAGGGATTGAAACACTTCTTTCTAGGCACATACATGGAAATAAGTGCATCTCGTACACCTCCTCTACACCTGCAAGTTTCTTGGCAATCTGTGGGTTGTTATTATTATTTATAAATATGAAAATTAATTGAAAAATACCTACGAAAAAGTTTATCTGTGTTCATCAGTGGGATAACGCTGTAATGAATATATTTACATCTCATTGGAAGAAACAGAGACCTGTTTTTTTATTCCTTTATCCCCATGTGTTTTGTTTATTGGGGGGGGAAGGGTTGCTTTTTTGTTTTTTGTTTTCAGTGTTATTTTTGGGTTTGGATTTTTTTGTTCTGTGTAGGGTTTTTTAAATTTTTGTTTGTGTTTTTAACTGCTAATCCAACTGGGTCCCCAGTCACCCATCCCACCAAAAAACAATGTTGAAGACCTGCTTTCAGCACCTTCCAGGTCTGAGCATGCCCGCTCTTTCCCCGTTGAGAGCCCGGAGGGGCTGCTGAATCCCCTCTGCCCGTGCAAGTGCCAGAAACAAAGCTCTTGCCCATGCAGTATCCATGTGAGTGAGAAAAACGAGGATATCTGTTTGTCTAATTCCTGTTCTTGTGTTCTCAGGTCTGGAATCATCTGAGTCCCCCCACTGCCAACATCTATGAATACAGGCCACTTCTCCATCCTGAATGGGATGATCCCCCCATAGAGGATCTGCCCACAATGTTGATTATCCAGCTATAAGTGCCTACCGTATGGAGCTGCTCTAGCCTCGGATCTGCTGCGCCTAGAATATTAAAAACCCCAAGCGAGTTGGATTGAAGGATCTTGTTAATGCAAAAAAAAAAAAAAAAAAAAAAAAAAGGGAGAGAGAAAGAAAAAGCTGAAAAAAAAAAAAGGGAGGGGGGAGAGAGGGAGAGCGAGAGAAAGAGAGAGAAGGAGAGTATGTAGAGCAGAAAATTAAAATGAAAAAGTTGCCCCTGTCTCCACAAACTGAAAAATCTTCCTCATCCAGGCTTGTTTGGAGGGTATGGGAGGTATCTGTGTGAGGGGAGACAATGTTATTTTTAAAGATCCAGCTTTATTAATACGTTAAGAAAGAGCTCCCTTGGTAGTATGTGTTCTCACAGCTCTGTCTCAGACCCTATAAAACATTAATGCACTGAAAGCTGTTACAGAGATCTGCACCATCAGCTAGAAGCCTTTACCTTCAAAGGAGCTCCATTACAAAAATTATTTTTAATTTTCTTTGAAAAAAAAGGACAAGCTGAAATAAAGAGGGGCTTTTGGCACAGAGCTCGGGCCCCTGTGATAGGTGGCCATGGTGTGGGGGGTCACAGCCTGTGTTTTTTGCTTGACCATGGCACATAAGCACATATGAAATGCACTGGCTTTCACCCAATGAGCAAGCATCCAGTTGTATTTCTATATTAATGGACTGGGAATATCCTCCACACACAGTGACTAGAGTCAGGAGAAATAGCAAGAGGGATGTTTTGGCTAGCAGCAAGCACAAGGTGTGCACACTGAAGCACATACAGGGGTCTGGGAGTCCTTTAGGTGGAAAAGAAAAGAAGCAAAAACAGCCAACCCCACCCCAAGCTCCCAGAAGCAGAAAGCCACCATGTCTAGAACAAACAAGACCCATGGCTATAGAATGCCTCCTGCTGCATGGGTAGAGGTGGTTGCATATGGTGACTGCAGACCATGGGCATGGTTTCTGAGAGCAAAAAACGAGGTGTGAACTCGGCAGAAAATCCAGCTGGTGGGAAAAGATGTTTCAAAAAAAGGGTAGGCCATCAGCCTTGGTGGGGAATCTGCAGTGTAGTCTCAGCGAGGCAAGGTCACCTAAGGCATCACAATGCAACTCCCACTCCCTCTTCCTAGGCCTTGACAGTTCAGCCCTAAGCTTAAGCTTAAGCCTGTTTTGGAACATCATGTAGTTTACACAACTTGGCTAGACATCATAAGTTTTTTAAGTTATCTTTTTTAGCACCAGTACAGAGTTAAAAATCCAGGGGAGATGTTTTGTTATTACTGTTTGGGGGGGGGTGTGTGTCCTTTTCTTCCCCCTCCCTTTTTTTTTTTTTTTTTTGAATTATTGGCATGTTTCATACAACAAGACTCATGGGTTGTGGGGTGATAAGTTGGGGGTTTTTTTGCTAAATTCTTTTATTTTTTTGTTTAAATTCTCACTTCAATTTTAATTCTTGAAGAACAGTTTTGACAACATATATCGCACTCATTATAAGAAGCAAAGGGTTATATCAAAAAATTATTAGTATAGAATCACAGGAAACCTGGTTTGGAACCAGAAAAAAATACAAAACAGATATAGATACATAGACACAGGACAATTTTTTTATAATTATTTGGAAAATGTTATTTTCCCCTAATTCTCCTTTCTTTTTTTTTTTTCCTTTATGCGCATATGATGTTTTAACTTTTACCAAAAATGAAAATAAAGACTAATATATTACAAAATGAGTAACAATGTTCGTGGTAAGTGTTTGCGCGTAGAATTTTTTCTTTGTTTCTTGTTTTGGGATTTTTTTTCATTCTACACAAGGTTCAGTTCAGTTTCAATGATTTTTTGTTTTGTTGGTTTACTGTACAGCATATATCAGCAACAGTCCACAATAAATCCTGGAAGATCCAGTATCCCCTTCAGGTTTGATTAATATCCCCTCAATACTCATTTTTTTTTTATTTTTATTTTTTCTCTTTTTTTTTTTTCTCCTTTATTAATATTATTTATTTATTTTTTCCTCCTCTCCAAAAGAAAAAAAATAGGCCAAATTAAAAAAAAAAAAAAGAAAAGAAAAAGCGAAACACCACAACCTCCACGGACGGCAGGTCCGTCCTTCTCCCCTACACGGCCACATCTCTGCTCCCACTCGGCCCTTTCTTTTGTTCAGTGTCCACCTGCCGGGCCCCCCCCCGCACCCCGACTGCCCCTCGGTGCGAGCGTCCCCGTCTCCGCCGCTCCGCCGCCTCTCTGCCGGGGGTGCGGGACGGGCTCTAGGAGCACTGGATGGACATGTAAGGCCAGTTGAAGCTGCTCCCAGACAGTAGCATATCCCTGATGAGGGTTTCGATGGGGGTTTTACCTACCAAGCGGACGAAGAAGAGCTGCTCGATGACGGAGGAGGAGACGGTGCGCAGGGAGGGCAGCCGCAGCAGCAGCTTCCCGAAGCGGCTGGGCTGGTTGGGGTACTGGCTCCGCACGTACTCCTCTAGCGCGCACTGTGACTTCTCCTGCAGGCTTTCGATATGCGCAGCATCCGACAGGCCGCAGGCGTCTGCCCACCGCACCGCGCCCGCGGAGGCATCCGCAGAACGGCGGCAGGTGGGGGAAGAGTGGAGGGAGGAGGTGGAGGAGGAGGAGGAGGAGGAGGAAGCGGGGGGGAGATGGTTAGTGACTGGGAAGCACACGGGGAAACGCTGCTAGGATGGAGGGCACCGCAAAGGCGCACCCCCTCCATCCCATCCGAAACCATCCCACCCCCTCTCATCCCACCCCACCCCATTCCGTGCACTGCTGCCGGATAAATAACGTGACCTCTCTGTGCCTCTTCACCACTGTGGGTATTTTCACCCAGGATGCAGTGGGGTACCCACACCCAGCTCGTCCTAGCCACACACATACAGCGCCTCATGCTTTCTTTCCGTATCCCACTCTGTGGACACTCTGTGCTTGTGAATGTGGTTCTCGCTCCAGGGAGCCCACCACCAGGATGCTGGATAACCTGGACCCGCCCCTGTTAAATAACACCGAGTGGAGGAAAAATAGGGGCACTGGGGAAAATAATAATAATAATAATAATAATAATATAAATAATAAGAACAATAATATGATTATAAACAGAGGTGCATACAAGCAGAGAGAGACAGAGGGAATTTGTTGACATGGCTGCATATCACAGAGAGGCAGCGACTGGGACCTGCAGTGGCTGGCAGGGAGCCGGCCAGGGGATGCCGGGGGGCAAGGGGGACCCCTCTGTCCCTGCCTTGCTGCCAGCAATCACAAATTGGCCAAGTCTTTGTGCGTTGTGTGATAAATCTGGTGGAAAGCGGCTGGGTTAGTCCTAGCTTGCACTCAGCAGGCGTCTGTAGCTCTCAGACACAAAGCTTGGGAGAGCTGTGGTGGATAAGCCTTGCCTAAAAGTAGCCAGCAAGACTCTCCCTATAGGAACATATGCCTTGCACCTTGCAGAACTATATGACCCAGGCAAAGGTGTACTAATCCAAGATCAGAAACCCTTCACATCCATGTATTTGTATCTATACACATTATTCTATGTGTACAGATACAAGCAGGGAGGTATAGATGCATCTGTGCTTTTGCACACACAGAGAGACATATACAAGCATATACCCCATCTCTGTGAACATATAACCCAAACTAAGGGAAAATTGTTCACTGGCTGCTAGTTAAGTGACTTGCTCAGGAAACCACAGTTGAGGAAAAGTGGTGGGTATGCCCAGATGGTGGAAACTATCCACATTGTTTACAAGATTAATATTAAATATTAAAAAAAACCCAAACAAACCAAAACAGAA